CAAATGTATCTATTAAACTATTGGCTAGGCATTTGTCAAATTACCTAATTTGATTGTGTTCCGGCGATGCATACACAACTTATCGATGTGACTTAATTCAAATTTTGCTTTAAATCCGCGATTTTAGCACACGAAGTTACTATTTTCGCATGTATTCAAGGGTGGACTTTTTAGTAAAGTACATTGTTCCAGCAACAGCACCAAGGGGCCGGGCCAAAGTGCTCCTTGCCTCATCCTCCGATGCTGCAAGTCATGTTTAACGTACCGCGAACTCTGTCACAAATCTTATCGTTTCGCCGCCGTCGCGTCGTCCAGACCACGTCCGTTCCACGGCTATAATTAGCGGAATTCCTTGTTGGTGTATTTTCGCAAAGCATTATTATTGTCTCCGCGCCGTTTCACAACTCCCATTCCCATTGGCTCCTCGAATTCGATCTCTGCAATTTTCCGTCGGGAGGGAAGGAGGAGGTGGAGCCAGAATTGCAATGGAAGGTTTTTTGTATTGAGTTACGTATTTATGCTCGCTCAGAAACAATGGGAAAAAAAACACTTTGGATCTAGAGTTCAGACTCTTGAAAACATCGACAAGAAAAAATACTCTTGATTCAATCAGATTTTTGCTTAAAGCAAAAGGAAATCCGCTCAAATTAAGAGGCTTGGTTTTTGATTTAAGCAAAAATCCGATTAAATTAAAAGTATTTTTTCTTGTCGATGTTTATAAGAGTCTGGACTCTAGATCCAATGTGTTTTTTTCCCAGTGAAATAATCCTTCATCCATGGCGCTTCCTAGAATTTGACAACCCTGTACCTATTTTCTCCGTGCAAACCTTTTATAAATAATCGGTCCTACACGAAGCAGCCTGCCTGCCTTTATGGGAAAATTCCCGCCGAGCAGAAGAAAACGAGAACTGCAATTTGAACAGAGACAAGAGATGTCGTTCTAGCCTGCTTCACAACAAATGGAAAAATTTTAGCTTTTAGAATCCAGACACTCAGCCTTTGAAATTATCTTCCTAGACTGTTGGGCAAATGTTTTTAGAAAACATAAAGTGTTTTGATGAACTGTAGGCTAAACTCTGAAACATGTTGCTAAACAGCTTACTAGAGGGTGAAATAACGTAACTTTTATGTCTGAATTTAAATAGTGACTCGTACAATAAAAATGTTCCGTTGTTAAGGCTATTTGAAATTCTGTTGCCTAGAACTTGCAGCTTTGAGAGAGTTATTCAAATTTTATAATCTGCCTCGTTTGGACCTCAAGAGATATTTGTTTATCTCTGCGTTCTCTTGATGTGAAAGAATGAAATGAGCAGTTAGCAGCTTTCTCTTCGTGATACTAGAAAGTTTTTCCTTCAGAAACTTAAAAAACTATTTGTTTGACCCACCTCGATAAATGTATCTTCCCTTGCTTGCTGGTCCAAACTATATCACTAATAAATTTGAACAAATTTTTTGAGGGTCTTCTGGGTGGTGAAGACCGTGTATTGTGTCAATATATTTGTTTTTAGTTTTTTGTCTTCTTGAAGGTTATGTATTAATATTATTTGTTTGAATATTATTTTTCATTCGTCGTATGGTAATTTCCTGTTAAAAATTTAACCTCTTCTTCTGTGGATGGCTGAATTGTTTTTTTTTGTTTTTTTTTTGTTTTTTTTGTTTTTTTTTTTGCTGCATGGTTCACCTTATTTTACTAGATTTTTTTCATGTGGATAGTCTAAAAGAAACGCTCTTTAAAATTTCACGGCACTGCAGTATTTGCTACTTCTAGCTGCTGCCATATTCCTTGCGCGCACACTCTCAACTTTAATACCTCTTGTCCGTCCTTTCCCGGGATTCCATCCTGTTTTCCAAACAGCTGTCATATTCGAAGTTATTTCATAAGTCACTCTAAATCTCATCTTCCATATGTCACAGCAGCAGGTAGACGATAGTTTAATATCAACCACCAAAACCACTATCGACCCTTCCTTCCTAGTCCGTCTCAACCTCGAGTCACCCTTTCAATAAAACTTGTCATCTCATATCAAAACCGTATCCCTTCCACCCCGCAAAGGCACCCCCCCATCGTTTCCCTCCAAGCTCGTGTACTTCCTCAAGTGGTAAGATGAATGTAGCAAATATCGGAACTCCTTGTCTGCCGTGATAGCGAAGAGAGCAGTAAGTGCATGCTGGGATGAACCTCGAGATACATATCAGCGTATGCTTACCATAGCTCATACAGAAATGGACTTACTGCTGTCTTCGCTATCACGGCAGTTGTGTAACTCATGAGACGCTCTAGCGAGAAAAGTGTATGTCGCCGGTTGGTTGGGATAAATATTCAAATATCGTTTTGTTCGACGGCTTGTCACGGTACATTTGTCAAAACGCCAGATTGAATTTTGGATTCTAAGGGAAATGGACTAGACTCAAGAGGAAAATGTTTTTCTTGGGATGAGAGACGCTTCCCTCCAGTATTACTGCGCGATATAGAAAATAGCAGATTATCTTTATGACTGATAGTTTCGTCTGCTTGACGAATCATGCAGGAGTCTTCTTGCCGATATGTATTGCGTTTTTAAATAAAGAACGTGTTGAAAATATTTGAATGCTAGAAGTATCTTGAGGCAAAAATATTTAATTTTAAACAATTTTCTGAATAATTTGTCTCAATATTGGCCAGTGTTTCAAATTTTAATATCAGTGTATAAATTTGTCCTATTTTGAAGAACCGAAGTATAAAAACCAACCAAGTATTTTTTCATAACCAAGTATAAAAATAACTTTTGTGACATTGTACAGCCCACTAAACACGGTGAGGTGCCGTAAGTCTACAAAAGTTGAGAATGCGACCTCCCGATTGTGATTTTTTTCCCTTTAATAAGTAAAACGAATAATCGTTTCAGATGATAATAAGATAACTCGGCATTTTGAGAAGACTACATCAGAACGGCCCAAAGATTGATCGACTTGACTTTATATTCTTAAAAGTATGCAAAATACTTGTTATCTAACATAAGTTTTAATCTGTTTCAGAGAATGGACTACCAAGGAGATTACGGACTGCTTATACGAATACTCAATTACTAGAACTAGAAAAGGAATTTCACTTTAACAAATACCTATGTCGACCTAGGAGGATAGAAATAGCTGCATCTTTAGATTTGACTGAAAGACAGGTAAATAATCCATACAATACATCGATCACTTAAATGTCACGCTTTTCCAACGAGCTCTTATAGCTACATCCTATTAGTTTCGATGAAAAATCGCTTAAAATACCTCAGAGAAAAAAAAGTGTCACCTCAATGTTGCTATTGATCAATAAAAATAAAACTCCAGTTAATTGACATAAGTATTGCTTCATGTTTTTTGGAGATCACGCGAAACGGGAGTTACGCCTATTCTGCAAGAAAAAAAACACCGTACGAGCTTCTAGCTGTTGCCAAATATCCATCGATAAAATCAGAATTTCCTGGGAAACTTGGGCATATTTTTCTTTAAAATTTTCAGGAACTTCAATTAGGAATCTATAATCTATCGTATCCAAAAATTTTCAGAACAAATGTGCAGAGCTTTCCTCAAAAATGAATACTTTATCGGAAAAAATCGGCACTGAAAGAATGTTTTTACGGCGTTTTTCCTCAGCACAGCAGTATTTCCAGCAGAGGAGTGAGGTATACATGGAAGCATGTATTGCATGTACGAAGGAATGAAGGCGCTTAATGTTGGCCTCAGAAATATCATTCTAATCCAATATTGTGATTATATCCAATGTTCGCAATCATTAGACAGAAAATTAATGCTCCTTCCCAAAATTTAACCACCTCTCCAAAAGTTGTGTAACTGTTTCTTCAAATGATTCTTTTTGTGTGACTTTTTTTCTTTTTTTTCAATTTTTTCTTTTTAAGTAGCTAATCCTGCTTGCGCTATTTTCACTTTTTTTTATGAGAGCCGCAATCTGGGGTCGAATAGATTTTGAAATGTTCGAAATATCTGACTTTCTCCGCGTATACGTTTAATGAAAAAACGTGATTTTTGAAACTTTTACTCTAACCCTAACCAGTGGCTTTATGACGAGAATATCATCATATGGAGCCACTCAAAATTTTCAATACACTAGGAACTAATGTGACTCAAATTAACCACAACAGGACCAAAAAATTCCCTCCCTAGAACAGCCCGCAATTAGAGCAGCAAAAGCCCCTCCCCTTCCCCTCACTGCGCTAAATCCTGGAATCCTACAATAGCGAATCGGGGCTTAGTCTAGGAGCCTGCCGGGGGGCCGACTCTATTCCTAGCCGCAGAAGTGGTGAATGATACACTACCAGCGCAAAGTACAAACAGCAGATGTGCGTATGGTCTTAATTGGAGATTAGTGTTTCTTCGGGTTATGGCTGGAATGGGGCGGATGGAGGCAGAGCTTTTGCAGGGCAGCTTATTGGTGGCTCATTATTTCGAGCGAGATCACGTTCTAATCCGCCAATAAGTCCAATCGTGGCCGGGGTCCGTCGGCCCAGCCTGGATGCGTTCCCATGGAATGGAGGAATGCGGCGTAGCCATGATCGCCCGGCAGATTGCGCCTCTCTACCGGGTTACCAGAAAGTTTTTGCTCAGTCTTCATACGATGTTGTTACATAGGATGTTATATAGGATGTCTCATAGGAAGTTATCCCGGCAGTGGCAGATCCGGGGATCGGACTAAAACAGAGGGGGGGGGAGGAGTAGGGAAAAGTAAGAAAGGGGGAAAAAAGGGAGAGAAAAACAGTTCTTCTACAAATTTACTGAAATGATATCAAGACAGATTCTATTTAACCAAGTTTTCTAAACCAAAAGTTCTCAAAACCGCCGAAATAAATGGGCCACCTACCAAAATAACATTTCTGTAAAAGGGGCATTATTCGTCAATTTTCAAATTTCAAATAATGCACATTGTATGTTAAAACTGCTTAAAATTCAATCTGGAGGGTTTTTTTTTTTTTAATTTTCCGGGGCGAGCTCCGTCCCCTTCGAAAAACTAGATTTTAAAATTTTCAAAAGACAAAAATTTAGGATGTCAATGGTTAACTTTCGAAGGGACCGAAATGATTCCCCATGCAAGGGACGAGGTTTCAACCGCACCACGTCATCCAATCATAGTTAACGTTGTTGGTTAAACCTTAATGGCATAGCGTTACAAATTTGTAACAAATTATTTGGGTTTTTAAAAATTGAATCTATCCTTTGTCGCGTGATTTTGCAAATTTGCATTAGTTTTTTCTTTTTTTGAATAAATAATTCCCAAAAATTAAAAATTTTAAAAAAAAAGTTGGTACCCTACACTGGGAAAAGAAACACATTGGATCTAGAGCCCAGACTCTTGAAAACATTGACAAGAAAAAATACCCTTGATTCAGTCAGATTCAAGCTCAAATCAAAAGGAAATCCGCTCTAATTAAGTGGCTTGGTTCTTCTTGCTGGTTTAAGCAAAAATCCGATTGAATCAATAGTATTTTTTCTTGTCGATGTGTTTAAGAGTCTTGACTCTAGATCCAATGTGTTTTTTTTTTCCAGTGCATGTTTTTTATGTAAGCTACTGAATAGACTAGTATCCCCCAGAATCTGAGATCCAAAATTAATTCGTGCCATAGAGGGTTAATAGTTACTTCCAGCGACATTTTGGAGCACCCTTTGGTCGAAATTCAAATTTATCCAGGGCGATCTGGTGGTGCGGAAGGGGGCGGGTCGGAGATGACCGGTGTTCCGTGGCGTTGGGAGTTGCTGCGGCGGAATTACCTCCGAGACGACACACGATGGCCGCCGCGGCGCGGCCCGGCCGGGGATTGCGACGCCCGAGACGAACCCGGGGGGAGGGGGGGCACGGAGGGAGGAGGGGGTGGCTAATGACGAATGCAACGGAAACGTCAATTAAATTGTCATAACTCTGTCACTGTAATATTTCCGCCACGGCCCTCCGTAACGGAGTAATAACCGTCCGGTCCGACCATNTCGTGGATGACCCGACCGCTGACTCGGCTGGCTTTTTCATCTCTCATTGGTTGTTCGTATTCGTGGTTTCTGAATTAAGGCGGTTCGGACTGGATCTGTGAGGAGTAAAAAAAATTGAAGTCGAGAATCGGGCAGCGCACGTACATTGTTATCCAATTTTTTTTACCATTTCCTTCTTCATACCGACGGTAAAACTGCAGAAATGCAGATATCGGTTGCGGTGTTTCAGAATCTCCGACGCTCTTATTCTATTTTTGATAGGAGACCAAACCAGTATCATGGCTTGAAGCCTTCGTAGCATATCGACGGTGAAACTACCAAACCACGTATCTCGTTTGCGGTGTTTAAAAATCTATGCTCACATTTTATTTTTTTGAAGTAGACCAAATCAATATCATTCCTTGAAATTTTCACGGAATTTTCTCCGCACAAAGAGAAAAAATCACAGAAATTTTCAAGACTGGATGTTAAGTAGTTTTTCATTTAAAAAATAAAGTATGACAGAAAGTCTGCGACGTCGCAAACCGAGATACGTGGTTTGGTAGTTTCACCGTCGATATTCTTTACAGGGAGAAGAAAAATCACTGAAACTTTAGGAAAATTACGTTCAGTAGTTCTCCACGTGGAAAATATTTCGCGTAAACATTTGATGAGAGTACTATCCTAATGGGTCTTCAGATGTTGCCACATTTTTCTCGATAAAAAACGAATTTGCTGAGGAAATTGCGAATTTTTTCTTCAATTTTTTCAAGGAATTTTGTTCACAACTTAATACCTAGTTAATATCTGAAAATTTCAGGGAAAACATAACTTAACACTTAGCATAACTTATCTCAGAAATATATGTTTCATCCGACTAAATTTAGCGATTCTCGAATGTTCATACGGCGTTCTTCCTTAGCACGACTGCATATAGTGTGATCAGTGGTCCGTTGTATTCCTACCGTGTCTGGTGGTCTATTCGATCGCTGAACCAAAATTGAAGATAACGCAGAATACACAATGGAGTCATTTTTCCAAAAGTTATTTTCTCAAACAACCTTACCTAAGACCTTGTTCACATGAGCGCGGTTCGCGGAACTTCGAACGGAACTGTTCCAGGAACTTGTTATAACTCACCTATAACTTGTTCCTGAAACCCGCTGTTCGCAGAACTAATTCGTCCAAACTGCACTCGTGTGGACAAGGCGTAACTTAACTCAACTCGAAGTATCTTAGCCAACTTAACTTATGTCTTCCCTTCCATTCAAAACTATTACCTTACCCATGTTCCGTTTTTCTGTTTCCAGGTGAAGGTGTGGTTCCAAAATAGGCGGATGAAGCACAAACGTCAAACGTTGAGCAAGCAAGGCGAGGACGGCGACGAGAAGGAATCCGTCGGCTCCGGAGGCGGTGGCAAGTCGAAGAGCAGCGACACTTCCGACGACAAGAAGAGCTGCCAGAACTGCGACCTCCCCGCCGGGCTCCTGGGCAGCGACCACGGCCGGAGCAGAAGCAACTTCAACACCAACAGCAACGACAACAGCGCCTCCAGCGTCTCCAGCAACAACAGCAGCTACGACAAGGAAGAAGACTCCCGCTCCAACGAGGGCAGCGGGATGGTGACGTCACCCGGCAGAGCGCTGCCCATCAAACGGGAACCGGTCAAGATAGAGAACCCGTCCAGGATCAAGATGGAGTCGACAGGAAGCATGTGCGATTCGCCGATCAACAGCGGCACCAACACCCCATCGATGATCAACCGGAAAACACCGATCATCACCAAAGACGTGGCTGTGAACCGGAATCTACCGGATATCCCCGTGAAACCGGTGACGCCGTCGACCATCAACCAGTCCCAACCTAGCCCGAACAGTGTCTACTCGATGGCGAACCAAACCCGACTACGCAGCCCGAGCAATCCGGCAGTTACGTTCAACTCCAGCCCCGTCCAAAGCGGGATAATGTCCCCATCCATGATCCAGATCGTCAGGTGTCCGGGTCCTGGCGCGACCGGTTCCCCGACCTACCAACCGGTTGCGAGCCAGCAGACGGCGATGCGAGCGCCGGTCCCGAACCCTGGCGGACACCACGAGAACTACCGGATGCCTGCCACCCAGTTCCGCCAGTGCTACCGCGGGGAGATGTACAACCAGAGGATGCACCAACCGAGCACGGATACGTATCGGCCTCCGATGGGGAACCGGTTCAACGGTGGTGTACAAACCCCTATTACCCCACGGTCCCAGGTGACGCAGAGGCAGTATGGCGGGAACACCGTCCAGCAGACCCAATACCCTACGCAATACTATAATGGGTATCCGAACCAAGACTACCCGAATACTAATAACTATAGGAACTATCAAACTCACTTTTCGACGGATATGGAATACCTGCCCGGTAGCACGAATTACGGCTCCTACGTGGGGCATAATATGTATTCCTCTTCGAATACCCCGGACGCCCCCAGCGAGTTCTACTCTTCGGATCTGTGCCATCCGAACTACCACCACCACACCCAACACTCGCAGACGATAAACAACGAGTACTCGGGGACCTGCAAGTCGGATTACTACCAGCACGGCCAGCAACCGGTTTCCGAGGAGGTGCCGAACCAGTATACGGTGGCGTCCCCGGAGTTCCCGGCCGCGAACCCCGGACTCCCGTCCTCGAATTCCGTTCCCTCGACGATCATGACGCCGCCGAACAGCGTGCGGACGGACTCCTCCGGGGACCAGTTCACTACATTCCAGCACTTTTATAACGAACCCTCGCAGCAGGTGCACCCAAATTCCACGTCGGCCGATAATAGCAACAGCTCCTCGGATTTCAACTTCTTAAGCAATATAGCCAATGATTACGGTCAGGAGTATTTCCAACTTAGCTGAGAAATGTTATTTTTGTAGAGAGATTTATTGAGTTTCCACGGATGAAAAGATAGATTCCCTCATTATTCCTTGGGTTACTTGCTCAAAAGGGTAGGAATTTTTGCATGTTTCTACGTTGCAGTGCTAAGAGACAGAGTAGATCTGCCGTGCCAAGGAGAAGACCCCAGCGGGGTGATTATTGAAATTTATAGACAAAGCGATAGACAAAGAAGACATATCGAGTATGCAGCAATCCCGTTGGTTGAAATGGGATGATTCTTATAGACTAAGGGAGAAAATGATGGACTAACTAAAGGGTTCCTCAAGGGTTGCCGTTATTTAGTCTATTACCTACCTCCTCTGTCCATTGCAAGTACCCGCTTCCACCAATACGATGTTACCATATCCTTTTTGTCTAACGCTTTGTCTACCAATTTCAACAATCAGCCCGCTGTGAACATTCGAGGCTTGCCACATTGCTTCCAATAAAATGGTTATATTTAAAAAGAGTTATGAATATTTTCAGATAATATCGATCTGGATTCGAATAAAATTCTCTGAAAAATTGGCAACAAATTATCTGCAGGTTTCCCTGAATATCCGTATTTTATCAACTGAAATTTGAAAACGTTTGATGACTCCTTTGGTGTTAATCTTAGCATGGCAGTGTGAATAAAATACCTAAAATCGGTCGATTGGCACTACGAGCCAATTTGGGCATGACGTAACCCAACCCTGGACTTCCTCCTCCCTCTTCTAGCGCGCCTGCATCGCATTCTCCGCCTTTTCTCCCCCCGGAGCGATATGTAACGCTAAGATTAACGCATAGCGGCAAGAAGCAAATAAAAAGTAAGATTTTACGACTTACAACTTAGCATTTTTGGAGATTTAAGGTGAAAAATGGGCGTTATTTTGCGTGAATTTGTGTGCCCAAACTTTGTATGCTGAGATAAGCAAAGGACCCACGGTTATTTGACTGAATATCCCTGTTTTAAGTCCCCGCAAATTATCACATAATGCTAGTTACATCAATACGGAATATTTCATTTGAATTAGCGACCTTAAAATGTTTAAAAAATTAGTTTTTCCTACATGTTCTCGACCGGTGACATGCTTTGTGGTATGATGATAATTATAGCCCTCTTCATGAAAAATTATAAAAATTGGGATTCAAGGAAGATATTTTAAGTTGAATCAGTGCCTCCAAAAAGAGTATTCTACTTTTATGCCGAAAAATTTTAATGGTGGGTTATTATTTCAATCAAATTTCATGGCATACATAGGTTTGTAGTTTTTGTGGATTTTTGCCTTCGAATCTTTTACGGAAAAATCCTATCGAAATGTAAGAACTGTTGGACGTAATCGACTGATAAATAATCACAATTTTCTATGGAAAAAAATTATGGGGCTTCGCTGTGCCCACCTGCAAGTCTTGACAGAACATTGTGGAAACAAAAAACACGACATGAATATTACTCACAAACGAAAATAAGTTAACTAAACTAACATGTCAACGGTGAAACTGCAGTAACGCGTATCTTGATTTGTAACGTTACAGATTTCCTGTTGTACTTTATTTCTTAAATGGGAATATAATACTCAACAGCATCGCTTGAAAACTTCACTGATTTTTCTTCCTTAAGTGTAATACGAGTAAATTCTGTGAAAATGTCAAGCAATAGCATTTATTTTTTCTGCTTTGATAGAAAAAAATGGAGGTACGAGTCTCTGAAGTTTCATTGTCTACATGACATTCAGTTCTGTTTCAGGCAATTATTTAAAAGTAACTATTTTTTTTTTTTTTTTTTTTTTCAGAAAAAGAGGAAGAAATACAAATAGTTACCTAACTGATAGAATTTTTAACTGATGTACCTAAATCGATTATTATCCTTAAAGTATTATCATTTCAGCATTACAAAGCAATATTTATCTGTCATTTATTTCTCTCTCTCCCTTATTGAAAATTGGAGATGAAGTTTATTCCACGAGTGGTCCTTATCGCACGAGCGTTACTTTGTCTGTAAATAAATTAAAATATTTGTAAATACAGCTGATATACAAAGATGCTATTCTCACCGAAAGGGAATGGGATTCATAGAAATAATGAAAAGAATAATAGTGTAAATGATTTTCTCCTCCCTTTTCTTCTTATTGTTATAATTACTTGTAAAGATGCACATGTTTTGTGATTTCCGTTTCAACCCACTTGACTGGGATGTCTCCGTTTGTTGTAAGGATTAAGAGGATGTTCGTTTTTTGTTATGAATTGTAAATGTGTTTTATACAGTTTTGTTTACGTAGAATTGTTTTTACTCAATATATTTTGGTTTATATTACGAGAATAAAAAAATCAGATGAGTACTAAGAAGCATCCAATCGTTATCGCTTATGATTCTTTCGTCTTCTCAACAGGTATACGTAGTTAAAATTATCAGATTCGGAAAATGTCTCTCTTATTCGCATTTCACGGTGCTTACTTTCACATATATTGAATGAAACTAATAAATTTATTACTTCTATGAGTCTCAATAAATATATATTGTGAAACCAGATTACTATTGACTGATCGTTCTCAAGTAGGTGCGGTCATTTTTAATTCGCAAAGGAATATTGAGATATTTTAATAACAATGTGTCTCCTTTTGGTAATTCGAACTTGTAAACTTAATCCAAAGGCTTGCATCAATAAATTACTGTCAATTTCTATTTGTAGAATGGTGTCCATGGCAAGTATTAACGGAGAGAATCGATAAATAGAAATAATTGGAGTGGAAAGGAATAGGTACTCGAAAACATTAGTTCGATTAATATCGACAGTTCAATATGTTATAATAAATACATACGACAAAGGCATATTTAATATGCTGTTTTCATATGTAAGACTTTTCAACAAGCTCTTTCAGTACTGTTTCGTGAAAAATTATCGAATAGAATTTTTATTTGGTTTCATGGGAAAAGTGCAATAATTCTTTAATAATTTGAAATTCATGTTTCTCTTGTGTGATATCTTACAAAATTATGTTGATGACTCCTGCGCAAAGATGTGTATGTTCTCCTGTTATTTGACACCTACATTGAGTATGTCTAATTTGGAATATTTCCTCTTCTACTTTTCCTTTCATCAAACTTCAGGTCTTAAGCAGGACGAATGCAATAATTGAGGAATGATTATTCCTTCATATGTGAAATGTTTGTGTTTGCTAAATGAGTGATTATATCATATTCAATTTATCACCCACTCGTTGAGAATTTTATCGAACATTTTACGTAAAAAGCTCATGAAAATTTTTATTTTGATGTTCAATATTATCTTCATGTCGTCTGGAGAAATGGGAATTGCCAGGTTCTCACCAAGATATGTGAGACTAATTAACTTAAAAAGTTAAGATCGAGAGAAAAAAAATCGCCAGCTGCTATAAGAAGTCTGATCTTTCAAATGAGAATATTTTTTAATTTTCATACTTCAATTTCATTTTCATTTTAGCCCCACATAGACACACGTTTAGCAAATTCAAATACGTAGAATAATTCGAATTTATTTTGTACATAATCGCAGTAGTAAAATCACATGATTTGTTTGGAGACTCCTAGCAATGTGGTCAAGCAAAAATGATATACGTAAGTGTATATATTACCTTTTAAGAATGTACTTACATTGTTGTATACCACATATTTCTATAATAAATGGTGATTAATATTTATTACACAATTTTTTTTATTGAACGTTTAGTTTAGACTCATTTAAATAAATCCTCGCATGCCTACGTCCAATCTCATTCAGCACTTAAACGATGAAAAGAAGAGAAAAGAAGGGTACAAATTCTAATTGAACTGCTTCTAGATGATACTAGCCTGCGAATACCACAATTATTACTCAGGGTCCGTTTTTGCCTATTGCTCCAAATGAAGGCTAAATGAGATTTTTAAGGGCATGCAAAGTCTCACGCGTTGCAAGAACTCCCACTCCGTTGTTTCGTATATTTGATTATGAAGAAGAATTAGGAATGACTGTTTATTGGGGGGCAAAACTGCAGTGTCAATAGCTTCAAAAATAGACATTGATATCATTGAAAAAATTCGCTCGCCTGAAAAATATGTTCCAGTAGGCTATAAAGCTCCTTTCCCACTCACGACGCACAGTGGATCGAGTCAATAGGAAAGATCAGACATGAACTTCTTTACTAAAACTGAGAATTTTGGTGTTTATTTCGTCGCATTTCAAGTTTCAAGGGCTGTTTTCAAAGGAAAATTTCAGAGGAAACCAATGGAACCACTTAGAATCTCAAAGTTTTGTATAAATAGCGTCATAAGCGTTTAAAGTCTCCAAAGAGGAGTTTTGGTGTTTATTTCGTCACACTTAAAGTTTCAAGGGGTGTTTCTGGAAGAAAATTTTACCAGGAAATCAATTGAACCGTTGCTGGAACCTCAAAGTTTTGTATAAACGGAATTATAAGCGTTTAAAGTTTCCAAATTTTGTTCGACCTCTTGTATTGACTCGATCCATTGTGCGACGGTCAAATATGCGACACACTCAAACACTACTAGGTTTCAAAATGATTTTAGTCGTCCATTTTCAACAGGGAATAGAATAAAGAAAAGGGGGAAGAAATAGAGAGAGAATGAGGTTTACTAAAACTGCAATTTTTTATGTTTATTTCGTCATATTTTAAATTTTAATGGGTGCTTTCAGAGGAAAATTTCATGAGGAAACAAATGGAACCACTTTCAGAATTTTAAAGTTTTGTATAAATGGAGTTATAAGCGTTTAAAGTTTCCAAATTTTGTCCGACCTCTTCTATTGACTCGGTCCACTATCCGACGGTCGAATATGTGACACACTCAAACACCACTGGATTTCAAAATGATTTTAGTCGTCCATTTTCAACAGGGAATAGAATAAAGAGAAGAGGGAAGAAATAGAGAGAGAATGAGGTTGAGGCAACGGTTTCCGATGAATTCCGGAGCCGAACCCGGTGCCAGGATCCAAAATCGAGACAGCTAGTAGAGCTTGGCAAGGATCTTTTTATCTGAGGACGCAGATTACCGAACCTAATTTCCTTCTCTCCTCTCGCAGCCATCTTTATCTCTGCTCCCGTCAATCTCGCCCTTCGTCCTCTTGCTTTCCTGGATTTTCCATTATTCTTGTAGCTTTCCTTTCAAAGTCAAGCTCGATCTCAACTTATGAACAGTTGCCAGGTTGATATTGAATAGCCATATTTTGAAGTTCTCAGTAACTTGTTCGTCACCTGGGTTTTGTAAATTACTCATGGACATAAACCCCACTTATCACTGGAAAAAAAACACATTGGATCTAGAGTCCAGGCTCTTAAAAACATCGAC